TTCTTCCTTTTAAAAAAAAAAAAAAAAAAAAAACCCCTCCCCCCCTCTTCCATCTCCCGCCATCACCATTTCTCTTTCATTCACCCTCTCCTTCCTTTCTTTCTTCCTTTAAAAAAAAAAAAAAAAAAAAAAGCACGCCCCCACCAGTGTTAGTGGTGCTGGTAAGAGCAGACACCCCTAGCACCAGGGGAGAGGCTCCATCTATTGGTGGGCAGCATCACCTGCTGGAAAAGGGGTCCAGCGTCTTGCCTCCTTTTCGTTCTTTTCTTGTTCCGTCTTGCCTCCTTTTCATTCTTTTTTCTTGTTTAATCACTTCGTTCTCTCCTCAGACCTTTCTTCGTTCCTTCATTTCTCCTCTCCGTCTATTATGCTCCTCTCCCTCCTTCATTTGATTGCTTCCACATTCCCTTCCTCCACTTCGCCCGCCTCTTCCTCACGTACGTCCTTCTCCCTCCGTCGTAAACCTTCCTCCCCTCATTCCTTGCTCTCTTCACCCATCTCACCTTTCTTCCCTCTTACCCTCTCTTAGCACATTTTTCTGTCCTCCCTTCCCTGTCTCCCTCTCTCTCTTCTCCTCCCTCTCCTCCCTCTCCTCCCTCGATAACCTTCGGCCTTCCTTCCTCTTCACCCTTCCCACCCTTCCCCGCCTTGCTCCCTTTTAATACCCACGTCCTTCTCCCTCTCCTTCTCCTCCCCACCTCAATAACCTTTACCACCCTCCTCTTTACTTTCTCTCTCTTATCCTGACTTGTCACCCCCGCCACCCCCCTCTCGTCCCCTTTCTCTCTCCTCTTGTTCAATTGCTTTCCTAGTTTCCTTCTTTCCTGTCTTTGCCTGTCTTTCTCTTTCCATTCCACAGCATCATAGAGCTTCTACAAGCAAACGATGTGTTTTCTTCCTTCCTTTTCTTTTCATTCCTCGTCAGTTCCTCACTTCCTCGCTTTTCTATCCCTTACCTCTCTCTCTCTCTCTCTCTCTCAACTACAAGCTATGGTCCTCTCTCTCTCTCTCTCTCTCTCTCTCTCTCTCTCTCTCTCTCTCTCTCTCTCTCTCTCTCACACACACACACACACACACACACACATACGACGTTCTCGTCTGAAGAGTCGCAAACAAGGGATGAAAGTTATCCCGTAGTTATACAGCCTCGCCGCACCACTCGCCAAATATGACAATTGGTGACTGTATTGCTCCAGTTTTCGCGGAAATATACACTCCCCTTCATCAGCATTGGCAGCGAGTGGTGAGGCGACGACGTCCATACTGCTGTCCTCTCGTTCCGACTCACACGACCTGGCGCTGTCATGTACCTACCGTCTTCCCCCGAACACAACCCACCCTCATCATGGATATACATACACCCGGAATTTCCGGTCCAAATATACAGGCATGACCTGGGTGCATTGTATTCGGCGGAAGACGGTATAGGCTTACAAACGGTTATAAACGGTTATCTAACGTAACCGAACACGACGTTAATCACAACCATATCTTTGACGGCATCAAACGCAACGGAACACGACGTTCGACGCCAGCTCCCCCCGAGGGTCACTACACCAAAAAGGATGCAACTTCCGGAGAAAAAAAAGAAAAAAAAAAAGAAAAAAAAAGATGTCACACTTCCAGAAAATGGAGCTCTTGCCGAAGTTGGGAGTTTTCCACAGATTGATGATATTGCTGCGCCTCACCACAACACTCACCAAATGTGCAAAGTGAGAACGTAGGTCAAAAAAAAAAAAAAAAAAAAAAAAAAAAAAAAAAGAGAGAGAGAACGTACTTCCCGCGCTATAACGTGGAAAAAAATACGCGCAGGATTTTTTTTTGTCTTTTTCGCACTTGGTGGGGGAGTAGGTAGGGTAGCGCGAGACCCATTCATTGACAGTCCTGATTTCCACGACCTTCCCTTCCTCTCATTAGAATATCTTCCCCCGAACACAACGCACCCTCCCTGTTTAATTGTATCGGGCCCGAAAGATCACTTGTGTACATTCATAATCAGCGTGCGTTATATTCCGGGAAGACGGAAGTCTACCACAAAAATGTACTTGTCCTTTGGTAACGAGGTGTACAAATATTTGGAGACCGCAAAATACTACCGTCTTCACCCGAATAGAACGCCCGGTCATTATCACTGCACCTAGACTTCCATTTCGACCAAATACAGCTATAATGACCGGGCGTTTTATTCGGGTGAAGACGGTAGTATTTATCGGATTACAGATTTTATCGGCCTCGCCGCACAACTCAGAACATGTGCAAAAAAAATGCGAGGGAATCTTCGCCTCGAACATGGAAAGATACAGCGCCACGACTTTCGTCTCTTGTGCATGTGGTCGTGTCTTGTGCATGTGGCGAGTAGTGCCTCGCCGTGCGGCGAGGCCCTATGTGTGCCCGTCGGGGACCTGACGCTACATGAACACAATCACTGTGTATACCTGAGAAGCGAACGGACTGACGACGGCCGGACGCGCTGGGCTGGCATACTGAAAATTAAAAATGTAAAATTTTAAGTGTTTCAGTTGATCCTACAGGAGAGATGGAGAGACTTCGACGCCTCCTCCTTTCCTTCACTTCCCTTGTCAAAACGTCTTTCGCTCATGACGGAGAGTTAGGGCAGACTTACACTTGGACATTGCTGACTGTATTTCGCCGAGATTAAGACCAGTCTCATTCAAGAAAGTCCTACTGTCAGTACGTCCTTAGGCGGGTGAATAAGAAAAGCCGCAACGTGTTGACGATGCGAGGGAAGGATAACGTTTGGCCTGTTTGCGCACCTGAAAAACCATCCTCCAATCTCTCTCTCTCTCTCTCTCTCTCTCTCTCTCTCTCTCTCTCTCTCTCTCTCTCTCTCTCTCTCTCTCTCTCTCTGTCTGTCTGTGTGTGTGTGTTTTATTTTTGTGTTCGTAAAGTGGTGTGCGCGTGGTGTGTGGGATGCGTCCTCGTCGACAGACGACGAGCCGTGCTTGGGACTTCAACCCCCCAAGATGACGGCTGTCTCTTATACACATCTAGATGTGTATAAGAGATAACTAGACTAGAACACTTACTCCTGACCGTAGCGACGAATGCTGCCAGCTACGCCCACATCGAATTGCGTGCCCTGGAAGCCATGCATATACCCGCTTCTGTATTTCCGAGGGAAGGGAAACGTTCCCCTTAGCGCTGAATGAAAACCCACCGGTAAGTTTATTCCCTCCCGACATATCTTTCTTGATCCATGCACAATTGCTGAAAACAGATTTCCATCAGTATCAGAAAAAGGAAAAAACGCACAGACGTTCCAATCAAGATGCGCAAAAGAAAAGAAAAGAAAAAAAAAGATGCGCAAAAGAAGAAAGAACACAAATGGGCGTGGGTGCCTGGGAAGCGAGGGCGGGAGAGAGAGAGAGATAAAGAGAGAGAGAGAGGAAGAGGGGAAAAGAGAGAAAGAGAGAGAGGGAGGGAGGGAGGGAGGGAGGGAGAAAGAAAGAGGGAAGGCAGCGAGGAACACGGTGGGGAGTAAATGAGCAGGAGAGAAGAAAGAGAGAGAAGAACGGAAAGAGAGAACGAAGAAGGGGAGTGCAGAAAGAAGACACAGGGAGGGAGAATAGCAATAATAAGTAAGAATGCGACCTGACAATCTTCTTTGCTTGCCTTTGCTCATCGCGCCATGAGAAGCGAATCCGGGGGACTAAGAGGGTAACTGGCCCCGCTCGCGCTGGTGAAGTCCTGCAGACCGCTGTCGTTGACATTGTAAAAACTAGTCGACATCATAGCCCCCGGATGCTCAAGCACGACGCTGAGCGAGTTATCTTGCAGCATCAACGCATCTTCCAACCCCCGGAGCACGTCCGCCATCGACGGCCTACTATCTCTATCTTCGTCCAAGCACCTAAGTGCCACCTCCCCCACCTTATGCAGAGACGCAGTTCCATAGGAGTTAACCAACTTCGGGTCCACAATCTGTTCCACCTTTCCCGCCTTCAGCTTCGGCACTGCCCAGTCTGCAAGACTCACCTGCTGACCTTTTGGAATACTACCCCCTTGCATGATAGGAGAGCGAGCGGTGACGATCTCCAGCAGCACGACCCCAAAACTGTAAACGTCCGACTTCTCTGTCAGCTGCTGCGTCTTGAAATACGCGGGGTCTAGGTAACCGAAACTCCCCTTGACCGCAGTGCTCACGTGGGTCTCGTTGATCCCACTGGGACCACTTTTAGATAAGCCGAAATCCGCCACTTTGGCAATTAAGTTGTCGTCAAGGAGAATGTTCGTGGATTTGACGTCGCGATGAATGACCATGTCCTGCGCGCCGGAATGCAGGTATTCCAACCCCCTTGCGGACCCGATACAGATCTCGAGGCGCTTGCGCCAGCTCAGCGGAGCGGTTTCGCTGTCCACCCCTTTGCCGTACAGGTGGCCTCTCAATGTTCCCTTGGCCATGTACTCGTACACTAGGATCATCTCCCCGTTGTCGTCGCAATAGCCGATCAGGCTGACAAGATGACGGTGGCGTAGATTAGACAGGGTTACTATCTCCGTCTGGAATTCCCGCGCCCCTTGCAGCGATTCCGCGCTCCCCCTCTTCACCGCTACCACCTCCCCGTCCGCCAGCTCCCCGCGATAAACGTTTCCGAACCCCCCCATGCCTATAATGCGCGCTTCGTCGAACTGACACGTGGCCTTTCCAATCTCTTCGATCGTGAACCGCTGGCCTACCTTGGTCCCATCCAACAAGACCGTCGTCACACTTGTCCCCTTGCCTCCCGCCATTCCTGCCCCCGTCCTCGAGAACAGCCCGCCGGCGCTCTTATACCTCCCCCCGCTGCCACTCTTATTAGAGCTATAGAACGACCCTGTGAAGCTGTCCAGGAGGTAATGGCCTCCCTTGGAGGTTCTCTTCAGGCAGAAGACGAAAATCACAGCGAGGACGGCGGCGCACCCACCAACGCTACCGACAACAATGCCTACTACCGTCCCCGCGTTCGGCTTTCCCGAGCCCGAAGACGAACCCGCCTCCTTTCCACAACTAGGCAAGGAAAAGCTATTCAACGCGACGCCCACTGGCGCGCAGAGACCGTCGTTTCCGCCCCTCCACGTGAAACTCGAAACGGTGTTCAGAACCTCCACCGGAACTTCGCCCGTGAGATTGTTTTGCTGCACCGCCAGCTCTTGCAATTTGCCCCCAGTGGCAAGTTCGATAGGTATGGCGCCCGTCAGCAGATTGTCATTCAGCAATAGGATCTCTAGCTCCGGCAGAATCCCGAGAGCGGTGGGAATCGGCCCCTCGAAGCTCTGATTGCTCAGCACGAGTCGCTTCAGCGAAGTCAAGCCACCAATTTCCTCGGGAATGCGGCCCCTCAGACGGGGCGAGTAGGCCGACAAATCCAAACCAACCACTCCTGTCGACGCTTGGCACTCCACACCAGTCCAAGCGCACACATCTCGCGCACTTGTCCAGTCCGAGAGCACGGCCTGGTTCCCAGGCGCGGCCGCGATGAACGCCTGCAAATTGCGCAGGTCGTCCCGACTCCCCACGGTCGCCACCGCTCCGTCGTCTGTCACTCGCACTCTCTCCGTCGCTGACAGATTGTTCGTCCCGATCTTCAGCACCTCCAAGCCGTTGATTGCCATCATGTCCGTCATCGAACTGGCCTCCTCTTGCAACATGATTGAAATGTTGCGCCTCTCCCATGGTTGATCGATGGGAAAGAAATCCAAGAACATACCACCGGACCCAGCACTATAGTAAACGTCGAGTTTCTGCAACCTAATTCCGCCGTTGATCTGCACTGTCATCACTCGCTGGAAAGACGCGCGAAACTTCAGTTCCGCGAAGAAGAGCCGCACGAAGTACGACGCCCCTCGTTCCACCACAAGGTTGTACGCCAAAGGCGCAGGCGCCTGGCGGCTGCTCTTGAAAACCGCGGCGGGAGTGAAGGTCGGCGCCTCGTTAGATCCATCCACGTTATCAGGAGTCGTGTACTCCGTGCCTTGTACCGGCGGCAAGTCTGGAGCCCACCTCCTCCTCACCAGATCGTTCTCCGACGGGATCGCGCTCCCGCCACAATTCCAGCGATAATAAGTGAAAAAGGTATAGCCGGCGGAGGTGAGGTTTCGGTAAAGTGTGTCGGGGATAGGAAACAGCTCGAAGCCGTTGATGAAGGCGAAAGATCCGACGGCGGGAACGAGATGGAGAAACATCACCGACGAAGCAGGGCAGGCAGTTCCGTACTCTCTCATGTGCGCGGAGTCCTCTCTCCCATCCACTTCGCCCGATATGCTCCAATTGCTAAGCAAATTGACATCTCCGACAGCGACGGAGAAGACGCCGGTAAGAAGCGACTGACTGGTGTTCGGGTTCGCGAACGCGTTGAAGAACAGGCGGAGGAAGTATGGCGTTCCAGCCACGCAACTCAGGGTATAATTGGCCTCCGAGGTGAAAATGCGCGCGGACCTGTAGACTTGCTCGTCCTCCTTGGCGTTCTTGATGCTCCCTGATGGGTTCTGGCTAGAAGCCGGGATCCCGATCTGTGTGTTCGAAAGCCAATCCGCCTCCCATGTCCGATTGCTAGTTATGTCATTGAAACTTTGAGAGCTGCCGCAGTTGACTGCAAAGGAAGAGACGGTCTGCGCAACGGTCGGCGACGATAATCCTGGTAGCAACAGAAGCACGAGGAGGAGGAGAGGGAGAGGGAGAGGGAGGGGGCGAGAGTGAGGGAGACGGAGAGGGAGAGAAAGAGAAGACGGGTGGAACTGTAGAGGGAAACCAGTCCTCTTTCCCCTCTTCCCCTTCCCCTTCCCCATTATCGTCTCGGTAACCAACAGTGCGACCGCTCGCATTTCCGCTTCTTCCTCCATTCCCCTATAAGCACCCGCCGGCTACTGCGCAAACTGAATTACACTGAATTAAACTAATAGTAAATGATAACAAGCGGATGCCCACCGCTGCTATGCCCCCGGCACACACCTGCTGCACGTCCTCCTCAACAAGCGGATTCCCAAATCACCTACTCCTCCTCCTCGTCCTCCCCGTCGTTCGCAAACCCTGTCCATCCTGCTCCCCCATACCCCTCCCTCCCTGCTGCTCCCCCATACTCTTCGTCGTACTCTACTACCTGCATTCTCCTCTCCCGCCACGCGGGCTAGCCGTGGGTCCCACCGGAGCAAATTAGGAGATTTCGGCCGTTGATCTTTGCTATCTACGGTCAGTATCTTTTAATTCGTGCAAGTGCGACCTACAGTAGCCCCGGTGTTACACGGCGTTAGTGATGCTAAAAGCGCGGGTTGAATGGTAGTTCCGTTGCACGGGGCGGCACCCAAATGGCGGCAGGCCTCTTACCATGTGGATGGACGGGATGCCCATATTATTATGGACACACACCTCCTGCCTGATGAAAAGAGTCGGTAAAAAGAAGTACGACGAAACAGTCTGAATCCACAGTGGCAAGCGTGGTGGCGCAGCCCGGAGGGCGGGGCCGAGTTGTGTGGAGCGAACCGAACATGACAACACACTGTTATACACGCAAAGCGTGGTGGCGCAGCCCGGAGGGCGGGGCCGCGGCAGGCCAATTCTTGTAACCGTGGCATGGAAATGGTTTCAGGGAGAAGGGTCGGGGGGCACGGTGACGGGCGCTCGGTAGCGCTCCGCAGCGTGCTGTCGGCGGTAGTACCGTCGGGGCTCTCTCGTCATTCCCCTGCAGTCCCTGTGCGGAATGAGTCGACCACCACCTCGCGTCAACCTGTTGCCGCCAACCATAGCCAAGTGCGTGGGAGGTATAGCAGTCAATTGAGAGTCCTTAGGAGTCACCACAACACCATGTGAATGAAGCGAATTGACGAGCGCCTTGGCGCCCGTCTGGGTGACAACAGATGGTTGGTGAGGTTTGAAGAGGGCGTGTTGGAGTTTGTCGGAAATTTCACACCAAGAAGCCTCAGGATAGGCAGCCGGCGGAGAGTCAACACTACAGAACAGCATAGCCGGAGGAAAGTGCGAGAGACGCCCCTACGGGGGCGGCGAGAGATCTGTCTCTCCTTCAACTCCTCTTCCAGGAAGGAACTCCTGGTGACCCGGGGGCTGAGTCATGAACCTCCCGAAGGAAGACGACTTTAGTCGTCGGCGGATTGGAAGAGGACTTTGCAGCGGGTTAGGCGCCAACAACAGGGAAGCGCCAATATAAGGGCCTCGTTCCACTACCCTCGAGTTGAGAAAAATCTCAAGGGCAGCCCTACGGGCGCCCTTGAGCCAAAACGTAATTAAAACATACTAGAGGTCGTCGGCGTTCAGAGACAGTGGAAATCTGGCGCCAAAATTAGGGTGAAGAGGCTCCCCCCCGCTCCGTCAATCCCCTGTTCTCCAGGTCAATCAATGCTGGCAGGTTCTGCTTGCGGACTTTCTGAGATATTCTGAGTATCCTAATTGTATCGCAATCACAAGGGACGCTGGACCCGTTTTCCAGCCGGTGACACTCCCCACCAATAGATGGAGCCTATCCCCAGGTGCTAGCCGTGTCTGCTCTTATCAGCATTGCTAGCACAGGAGGGACAGTTTCAAAAAAAAAAAAAAAAAAAAAAAAAAAAAAGAGGTCGTGGGCGTTCCACTACACCCTGCAGTTCCCGCTCCCAAAAAAATGAGCACCCCTGTTGGTCAGGGAATTTTCACAACCCAGGTCCATCGCTGGGCCAGGACAACCCCGATTGACAAAAAAAGAAAAAGAAAAGGACCGGACGGGGGGCTGAACTGCTGCCTGGCGGCGCATGTTGGCGCCGTTTCCAAGAAAACTGAAGTCACCTCTGGGAGGTGACTTGAAAATTGGCCGAAGTTGCCTGGGCACCCTACGGCCGCCCTCGAGTTTCAGAGCGGGATTTTGCGGGATTTTATTGAGGCAGGAAGCTTAATCACTTTCCAATGGTGATTAGCACATCTCAAGGGCGTAGTGGAATGGAGCCGCCCTTGAGATTTTTTCAAGTCGAGGGTAGTGGAACGAGGCCCTCAGTCTGTGGCAAATGCAGGATCCTCTTCCCAATGGTAGAACTTCTTCCTCACATATCTCTGCTTGGCATGTTACACTGTCTTTGCTTGGTAACTTGAGCCTTCGAATAGGTTTTGTCACAACGAACGACTTCGCCCGCCTCTTCTGTGGAATGAGTAGCCCATCCCTTGGTTTCCAGGGTGTTTTTTTTTTTTTTTCCGGAGATGCAACTCTGGGCCCATTACCCAGGTTTGGCTGAGGGCGCTGGAATTCGTCCAGAGACAGAAAATGGCCAAATCGCGACCGCTGTCCTGACTTCTCCAACCCCTAAAACAAACAACTGCCACAGGCCTTAAAAGCCCCACAATTCAAAAAAAGAAAAAAAAGAAGAAGAAAAAAAGGGAAAACATAAAAAGGAAGCAAAAATAACCCCAACCAAACAGAAAGAAAACTACACTAGCCCTTATCTAAGTACTCTTTTTTTCTGTTCTTTCTACACTCTTCTCTCAACTTCTGTTTTTTTTACCTTCCATTACCTACTCCTAAGACTATCTAGAGGGGACCCCTGCAAGCATAGTTTTCCTCTCTCTGTGAAGGGGAGATTTCATGTTGCCCCTTGCCCCTAATGATTAGGGTATAGGGTTGGGGCCGCCAGTGGGGTCTGGCTAACACAAAGACCGAGGTCTGCCAGTAGCTGTGCCTCCCTTTCTCATCGTCCCCCACCCTTCATCGAGTACCAGCAGAGGCTATGGCCAACACTCTCCCACACACCACACACAACCCACTCGTGCTCACACTCACACCCGTGTTGGTCATAGACCCCGCTAATACCGATCAGGGGTATCCAGAGGACTAAGTACTCACCTATCCCTCGCAAATTTCGATTCTAGCCAAATTTCCTCTTTCCTCTTGACTACCCTTCTCAAATAACCTCAATAGTTGTAATCCTATCCCCGAATCCGACATTCCAGTGTCTTACCTATTGTTCCCACATTACCCTTAACATCCACCTATTGCGGTGGGAGAATCCCCAGGATTCTAAAAATTCCCTACCTGGCAGCTCCCTCCAGAAACCTCTTATTTGCCTATCTCCTGCGATAAATCTACCGAGCGCCCAGGTAGGAAGAAATTCCTAACAGTCCTTGAACAACCAAGGGTCCAACACCACTTGGCCCTGCAACGAAATAGAAGCTATCTTATTATTCACACACCAAGTCTCTTTGAACCAATTTCGTCCACTCTCGTTGATTCCACCTTTCACGACTTTCCTTCTCCAGTCTGCCAGAATGGACAGACGTAACTGCCTGACAATTGATGCTCTTGCTTGCTTATTCGTTCCCTCCTGTCCTTCAAAAACTCTTGCATTCCTTTCTTGCCATATCGTTGCTATGACAATAGCTCTTATTACCTGAGCGACGTATCCCCGCCCTTTATGCAGACTTACGTTATCTGGTACACCTCCCAATATCACCCATCTCTTATCCCAAGGAAACACAGCGTTCGTGATCTGATCCCATGCTCTCGCTATCCATTGCCAAATACGTGCTGAGGCAGGACAATCCCACCAAAGATGCACAGTTGATTCGAAGTCCCAGCTACACCTGATGCAAGTCATCTCCACTTTAACCCCATGCTCTACCAGCCACACCGCTGAAGGCGTTGAGACAAGAGATAGCAGCCACAATATGGCTGCATGTCTTTGACAGGGAATAAGTCTCAACTGGTCCCAGCATTTTGACAGCGCTTTATCTATCAGAGCAGGGGTTTCGTCCAACAGTTGAGACCATCTAGACCGAGCTACTACCTGTGAAATTTTGGATGGCATTTTCAATTCATATCCTGTTCTCTGATGGTATTCCATCAGATTCAGGTTCTCCCCATTTTTACCTTTAGCCCACCATTCCCATATCTTGGGATCCACTTCCAATCTGCACTCTGGTTTGCCCCCATCGAATACTGTTTGTTCCTGCATAAGCTCGATCTTCAGAGATTTCATCACCCTGCGACGAACCACTTCCCGACCTCGTGCTATCTTTCGTACCCCTTTGMCCCAACACCCTTTTTCTGCATTCTATCAACCCCACAAAACCCCCGCCGCTTTTCTTGATTTCAGGCGCCTTGTTTGGGCCCCCACTTTTTCGGAAGTTTTATTGATTCTTGGAAGTCTGCTTTTTGTAATTCGGGAAATGCACGGGAAATTACGCGCGCCTTAGCGAGCGCACTGGGAATCAGGCTCGGCAGTTCGGAATTACGGAATAAGCAGAGCCCGACGTATCTTTTTCCTTGCATGAATGTTCTCGGTCACGACGGAGAAAACTCTAGGAATTTTGTGAGAATACGAATAGGCATAGGACTTTCATTTCCCTCGTCGACTTTCGCGCGCGGATATGGTGATTTCAATTTCAGAATTGGTGTAGGATATAGGCAAGTTGTAACTGTTTTGGTGTCTTTTTCTCTCGTTGTCGGCACCGCGCATGCGAGCTTCCTCCTCCTTATTCCCCACGTCATTCTTACCCCGCGCTCTCTTCTCTCTCCCTTCCCGCTTCTCTTCTTCTCCCATCGCAACTGTTTTTTTTTCTCTCTCTCTGCTTTTGCGCGCCTGTTTCCCTTTCTTGATCGTCTGAATCTTGGACTCGTCTCGCGCTGCTTTTTGCGCCTCGTCTCTTCTCGCTCTTCAACCTCGGCTCTCGAAGCCCGGTTGATCCTCCGATTACCCCGGCTCACCAATCAGACGCGTTGAGTAAGAGGATCTTCCTATTGCGCGACGAATCTGATTGGCCGACCATCGAGTTCTGAAGGATCAACATGGCTCCCCCTGAGCCCCCTTTGTTGAACCTTCTCTCCTTACACCTTGATCTCCTCTCTGACTCTTCCCCCATCTATCTCCTCTCTCGCAACTATAAATTCCGCAAGCGCGCCCGCAAATCTCTCTTACGTTTTCCACTCACAAGTCAGCTTCCGGGAAGCAGTGGCTAGGTGAGGTGTTTGGTGCGAGTCGAAAAGTCCTGTCGGGCTGACTGTAGTCTGGCCCGCTGCGCGCTTGATCGCCACGATGGACTGTGGGATCCGGGCGAGCCGAGTCGAGTTTGCGTCAGCGGGTCGACGATCGCAGTGGCGAAAGTTAGCATGCGACGGCCGGGATCGTCGGTGCGGGTATGAGGATTTGTGATTGGAGTTGAGTGGATGATTGGCCTGGGGCCATATTGGAATTTTGGAATTTCACGGCGAATGCGCCTTTCTGATTGCGGATCCTTTTTCTGGTGTGAGTGCAT